ACTGACAATCATAATTTATCATACAACACATACCCGTCCACGAAACGATATTGTCAATAAAGAGCAGTCTTACAATCGAGGCGAGGAAACACTGACGTTTCCCTAATCATTAGCGATCCATCATGGAATGGTTAGAGCAGAGAACACGAGAGCTCGAAGGTGGAGCAATTAAAGAAAAAATATGTTGCTACCCAAGTAGGATAAATATGTAAGACTAACGGATGGACAGGAATGTGCTCTACGCAAGAATTCTGTCTCGATAACATAGCCCACGTCGGCACGAGATTAGAACGTAAAGCGACTGGGATATAAGTTCATATAACCCATAGGCTTGAAGCCAGTATCACTGTCATCCCAAGCAAGGTACTCTCATGACATCATAAATGTACTATCATGACGTCATTACCGAGCTCTCATGACATCATTACTGTACTCTAATTTTAAATTACATATTTGCCGTACTCCCAATAAATCATTACCGAACTCTCATGACATCATTACCGTTCTCCCATTACATCACTGCCATACTCTCATGAAATCATTTGCACATGCAAAGGAATAATCTTCTATTATATATATCGGGGAACGAAGAACAATTCTCTCTTCCCCCGGTAATTTTAACTCATCCGGTGTGCGTGTTCCATGTGCCATCGACTACATGCTATGGAAGCTCACAGCAGGCCGCCTGTACACTCAAGAGGAATGCCATGACGCGCACAGGAGGGCACATGCCAGCTGTTTTGCTCAAGCCGCTTGCTGAAGCAGCGCCGATGGCTGCCTGTACACTCAAGAGGAATGCCATGACGCGCACAGGAGGGCACATGCCAGCTGTTTTGCTCAAGCCGCTTGCTGAAGCAGCGCCGATTTAACGATGCGCTTCATGTCGTCGACGGATGCGCTACACTCGACGACATCAGCTTGACGTGATGCAGCCAGCGAGCCCTGCAGACTAGTGTGCGGCACGACTCCAGACAGGTCGGAGAGGAGATGCTCAGGAATGGCAACGGCGGCGCTGACATCATCCGGGAACTTTGCAAAGTGCGCTGTGCCCGCTACCAAGACAACCCGGGCAACGCTGGCAGGGATCTTCCCATCCCGACACCCGGCCACTGCCACTGCCGTATGCGGGTCCAGAATGTACTGTTCAGACGAGGCTAGGTCACGGATTTGCTCACCACATTGTTCGTCCCAGATGGAGACAGGCGCAAGCTCCGAGGAAATCGCCGCGAGCAAGTCGGCTGGTGCTGAAAATTGGCGAGTGCGGTTCAACTCGAAGAAAGCGCGCCTTGCCCACTCAATGTGCGATGGGTTTTGCGACTCGTGAGCGATGAGGTGAAGCAGTCGTTCAACGTTGGACGAGACTAGGATATCTATGGCTGGTGACATGGTTTTGGCCAGAGAACGTTGTGTTAGGTCGTACATGCCAGTGGATATGAACTCCT